ATTTGATATATTTTAAGTATGCAGTGTTAATAAAATAATTTTTGGTATTTAATGAAATTGTTGAAATAAATATAATACATCGCTATTAAAAATACAAAACCTTAACCTTTTTGTATATTAATATAATATTTGATATACATAATGATAATTAGGTAGTAATAGATCAGTATAAAGTTTGAATTTTTTAGTGTAGCAATATCTATCAAATAATATAATCGATAATATGTTGATGTAAAATTGAAATACCCAACACYATATCTTATTAACGTGTGTCTCAATAACGATGAAGCCATTGTCAAAAATAAGTAAAAAAAACTAGGTAAACCTACCTGCAGTATCTCCAATGTCGTCAATAATGTAGTTGGACCTGTCGTTGTCATTGATGTCGTTAAACGACATTGCTGCAACATTGATAATTCCTTTGATTATCGCAGATATGGTGCCCCCAAAACTGTTGTAAATCCTTCCTCGATATATTCCTGGTTCTACGTTGTCGTCAATTACGAACACCACTCTCTGGACTGCATTCTTAGTATCCAGATTATAATCATCTTTATTGCTATCCACAACGTCTTCTTCTTCGGGATCAAAATAGTAATCCCCATCGTCTGGTACATTGACAATAGTCTTGCTATTCCCATTATTGTTGTCAGTTAGGGTAACGCCGGTCACATTAAATGCAATAACAACTGTTGCAKGCGCTTCTCCAGGTGTAGACTTAAAGAGCTGTAAAACGTAATTGGGCCGCTGCGAATGATATTGCAATGACGACGTGTTCAATGTACAAGTAATGCAAAATCGTGTTCTTCTATTAGTGTTGGTGACGATGCCTTCCACTTTGGTACCACAAGGATATGTTGTAGTTGCATTGGAATCTTCGTTTGATAGTTCTTTCTTTGATATTGACCGACAATCAGTGATTTCTTGAAGATTTKTACTGCCCTGATTGATCATTGTTTTATCTATAAGTATAAAAAAATACAATAGGTTGGGGATACATTTTTAAGTTATAGTGCAATTAAAGTAAATAATGGAAAATATTGTATAGGTATATAGGTAATAAGTAATAGTATTTTGAGATGTCGATAATGTAGAATAATTAGTATGGATATCTAGTTTGTCATTAGAATCTAATAACGAAATAAATAATAATTTCAAGCATTTTAAATTAAAATGCWAATATATTARAATTGTTAATACATTCACAAAACATAAATAATAATGGTGTTTTAATATACGTTAGCTATACCTTATAGGTATACAAAACAAATAAATGAAAATTAATAAGTATATCAGTTTAAAGTTGTATGATATCTATTATATATTTATAACTATATATTAATGATATACTTTCATTTTAAATATTAGAATTTTATGAATGAAATATAGATTGTAATTTTATTAGTCTTGTATTAATATAAATAGTTTTTTATTTAGGAATAGCCAATAAGACTACATGTTTAAATCTTAAATTTACGATTAAAAATTTTTTTTTAATTATTTGTTTATGCATTTTTCATAGAATCAATAACTTTTTTTACGATATAATTATAAATATAAGATCGAAAAATATTAAACTAAATACTTCCAAAACGGCAATTTTCAATATTTAACTTAAAATAACTAATCATTCATCTAAATATATTTTTTTCATCTAATTTCATGACTTAAAAAAGAGGTATGTATGTTAATCTTCGATATTTTATAGAAAATTAAATGTAACTACTATAAAATATTGCGGTTATTCATTAGTAAGGATAATAAATTATATGTTTGACGAATTGAAAACTGTATAATATACAGCGTGCTTTCGTGAATAAGATTATGTTAAATGTTAAGATATTTAACTAAAAAAATGCAAAGTGTTTTTATATATATATAACATATATTTACCTATTTGGGTTGGATTGACTAACTAGGTAGGTACTTAACTGTTATTTATATTAATAAATCTAAAAACTCTTATAAGCGAGACCAACGCTAATGGGTTTTTTTTTATGAGGTTATAAGATTTACATTTTGATAATAAATTAAAAAAATGTTTAAATACGAAAGTKTTCTCCAAAATGTCGATTTAGTGAAATACTGCAATCTGCAGTATTTAAATATCAGTGTTAGTAAATATTTTCGTAAAATGTGTTTTTCTGTAGTGGAAATAAATAACGAATGTTGAGTGTTTAATATTTATTAATTTCACCTGTAACACGATAAACGCAGGGTTTRTTCTGTATGCCCATTGTGTTGACGGCTCGGCATTCTAGTCGACCGTGAAGAAAGTTTGGGCGAACTGCGCTTGAAGAGGCTGAAGCTGCGGCCGATACGACTGATAAATACGATTTTAATACTGGCGTACTTGTGGTAAATGCATATGATATTCCACCATCRCTGCCTTGGACAGCTGATTCCGTAAGTAATGAGTCTAGTTCTCTTATTGATCGCCCAGTTAAAGTCATTTCATTGGATTCAAGAGTGCCTCTATTGCGAGTTTCCAGWTCTGCTGGTTCGGGGTAAAATTTCCAATGGTATTCGATAGTCGGTGGATGTCCATGTCCTGCCCGACATCGGATCTCTGGCCCAGTGACTGCGTCAGTTTTTTTCGTAATAATATAAATATCTTCACGATGCTGACATACCGGGACATCTTCATGGTTTAAGAAACATACAATTATTAAAATATAATTCAATTTTATCAATATTTATAGTGCTTAAATTGGAGAAAAATTAGAAGTCAAGAGAATAAAAAAAAAATGTTCGTACCTCAATATTTAAATGTCTTTTTAGTTATACGATATTATTAGAAGTGGTACATAAAAATATTTTTTAAAAGAAAAGGGACCTTTCACCTTCCCTCAATCCAAGCACTGACAGTTTGTATGTTGTATCTAATCCATAAAATGTATTTAAATAAAATATTTTATATTTTTAATGAGTCCAAAATAAATTACACTTTTCTAGTTGTTGATTTAATAACGAGAAATATAAATATTTGTTTAAATAAACATAATTTGACGAGTAGAAAGTTATATAAAAATCAAGTTTTGAATTTATTTGACAGACAATTATCTATTATAAATATATATTACCTACATAGCTAGTTTTCAAATAATAATATTAAAATGTATTATTAAATTTAATAATTATTCATTATCGTTGAGATGTAGTAAAATATGTATTATAAACAATTTAGTTGATACAATTTTTTTTTTCATATTGATTCAAGAATATTGTTAATTTTTAAAATATTTAAAATACCTTCTAAGTTTAACCACATGACAATTAATGTTCGTATAATAACTATACATGTAATGTTGAACACTGAATTACTTTTCATTTCCTAAAGCTTATTTTGATATCTTTACTTTTTTTGGTTGTTTTTACATATTTTGTGTTCAATATATACTAAAACTGACAATATTAACCAAAGGTAAATATATAAAACATTATATATATAAATATAATTACGAACTATTCGTGTTGATCTCATAGTAGTTGATTGTGAGGTATTTTTTTAATGAATATGTCTTAAATATCAAAATATGTTAATAATAATAATAACATTKTACTCACGTTTCACGTACAACCGAACTGTATTGCTAGTCGTTTTGTTGTCATTGATATCGTCATCGATTCCGTTTGTCGCTTGGCACGAATATTTTCCCGCTGCAGCGGTATTCACGGACTGCAAAACCAAACTACCCAACTGGCTGTACTGTATAACTCGGCCAGCCAGTCTGCTGTTTCTCCTGTCACCCCTTTTTTCTCCGTCGTCCGTCCTTCTTTTCTCCGTCTCTTGCGTCAGCCGAACACCCTACGTTGCAATTAAAAGGGGTACATCGTGTACTCACATAATWTATAATATAATGTGTGTAATTAGCTCTAAATAGTGCAAAAAGTGGTTGTTGGCCACGAATACATGTGAACGACGAGTGAAAACAAATTAGATCTGAATTATTATCGTGTTAGAATACATTTTAAAGCAATTCACTTTAAGAGTGGTTTGACATATTTCATGTATATGTATAGGTAACAATATACATATGGCCATCGATTACATCGCCTCTCGTGCACCGAATAATACGCKACTACGTTAATGGTTTATAGGTAAGTACCACAACTACCATCACATATTTGATTGCGTCAAGCTGCAGACTCAAGCATTTTCTCGAATTTCGATGAATATATAGGTACAGTATGGCGGACGCAATAATTTATTGATTACTAATAATCTCAACTCTATGCAAATCCACCATTACGTCATATATACAATAGTGTTGGGTAGCATAAACTAATAATATGCATTGATTATCGCCTACAAATAACCGTCATTGACATGAATAAATTATTCGAATAAAAGTATGAACGGACAAATTGATTGGCTAATTGTATGGTATAAGACGAAATCATGAAAAACATTATTAAGAATTAGTTAATGAAATGAAAACGTATGAATTTTACAGCTGTTTTGAAACCATAATAATATTAAATAATTACTGATTGTTTTGTATATTAATTGGTTTGGATTGTTGGTTATTCATTTATCTATTTAGATATAATTGCATAAGATTTCATGGATTTAGTTATTAAACTCTATTCATGAGTTGATATAATTTCAATTATTCAGCAGATAGATAGTATGGTTATGGTACCTGTCAAAATGTCAAATTAATTCAAATAATTTATTACATTTTATTATATGATTAAATAAATCGTTWGCAACTAATAACTATTGAATAGGTTTGTATAATCATTAACTCCGATATTTGATAATGTCCTTTTAAAGAAATTGATTGTTGTAAGTTCATGACTYATAAAGTTATGATGTAAGATATGTAACGAAATTGAGTGTGAAATAGTGAATAGCTCACTGTTTTGGAGGTTGTGAGAATAACCCAATAAGTCAATAATCTTTTATACCAAAATTCTTCCTGTTAAATCTAAAATGTGCACAAGGCATAACGATGTTTGGTCAAGTACTATATATTAATAATTATGCAGATACCTGCAAACGGTGTTTAATTTAAGATATGTATTATAAATAACATTCGTTGCAAAATATCTAAGTATATATTTTATTTGTTTATAATTATATATCCTCAAAGTCTAGGACACTTACTGTRAGTTATATTACGTATAGGTAACTACATTAAATTATTATTTACAGTATAATACCTACTATAAGATATTCCTAAAATATGTGTGACGGACAATGGGCTGAATCAAATTAGCCGAATACCGAAGAGCCGACTCCATTTGACCGAATTTCATCTAGCCGAAATAATCGAGAGTCAGAATTTCATATAGCTGCCAAAGGGCTGAATTTATAATATTGAAAAATAAATAAATGCATTTTTGTTTATAATATGTATTAAAATGTATATAGTAATAATATGTGTATAAAATAATAAAATTAATGACGATAAAAAAAAAATAGAATTTAAATTGTAGGAAATTCCTTTTGAAAAATTGATGGCATTTATATAATAAATATCATTATMAATATTTATTTGAAGTTATCGCCTTTTATTTGYTAATTTAGGTTTTGGTTTTTGATTTCCAGATACAATTTTTTATTGACCTATAAATATGAATTATTATGTCTTACTTGAAATTAATTTTTTAAGAATAAAAATAAGTACAATATTTACCTAAAGTATTTTGTTGCTCTTTACGCATTTCAATGATTAAACGATAAATTTCTGCTCAGTGCCTACCAACATTTTCCAACGCTTTTGCCAGGACTCTAAATTTTGACCAAAAGATGAGTTACAAATATAAAACGACAACTTCAAATACAAAATGTTATTGAATTTAAAAATAATAGAAATACTATCGATTTTTTAAAGGAATATCCTACAATTCAAATAAAAAAWWTTTTTTATCTACATTCATTTTATTATTTTATACACACATTAATAATGTGTGTATATAATGTGACATTATTATTATATACATTTTAATACATTAATACAATACATATTATAAACAATTGATTTATTTATTTTTCAATATTATAAATTTGGATCTTTGCCAGCTGGATGAAATTCGGCCAAATGAAGTCGGCTCTTTGATATTCGGCTTAGTGAGATTCGGCCTTATGTACCACACCCCTAAAATATATGATTACTAATAATTAGTCTCAAGTATTGTAATCTGCTAATTATGTGTCGGTGTACTTCAAAGTAAATATTTTGAATTTTTTTTTTAAGTATCATTAAGCATAGGTACCTATATCATTGAATAGTTTATTTAAATCCTATAAAAATATTTTCTAAAACATGTTTCACTAACACTGACACTACTTTCTAGTTTCTAGCAGGCGATATTGCAGCCTAGATTGAATTTAAGTCTTCATATTTAAGAACAAATATTCTAATAATTAATTACCTGTTCATTGTAGGAATAAGAAATATATACGAATATTTATGATCTTAATTACTGATAGATATTAAATATAATATAGAAGTTCTAATAATTATAATACTTACTACCATAGGCGTGTCCAGACCTCATTCACAGGTCATGCACAACAGTGGCATATCTAGGGGATAGAGAAACTGCCAATCCTCCCCCCTCAAAAAATTAAAAYTAAAAATTAAAATTTCTGTTAGGGTTTGGGCATATGACCTTGAATCATACACATGATGAAGAACAAAAAATTTATAATGAAATCAGAAATTGAGAAAAAAGGTTCATATTATGCATCAAAATGTACAATGTAAGTTGTTTGATCAAATGACACGCATATTATGCTAACTATACAGACGTCTCATGTATAAAATTATATTTTTAATTATTGTCATGATATAAAAAAATATAATTATCAAATTTATGAAAAATTAAAACAATATTATATATATTGGAAATAAATGTTAGTTTTATTGTTTTTATGACTTTATAGTAAAAAAATGTTAGTTAATAATATGATAAAATAAAATGCTGAACTATTTTAACTGTCCTAAAAGGTGACGACTGGACATAAAAATTTATAAAAACTCAATTCTTTGTAAAATCAATGCATTCAATTAAGAGTGACAGTAATACCGATATACCATGYATAGAATACGTTACCTTTTAAAAAAAAAATTGTATCCAGAAATTATCGAATTACCCGATAATACTGAAACATAAAAAAATTGAACATATCGAAAAAACTGAAACATCGAACATAGTACCTATATCAACTATATTATAATGAAATTAATTCTTTAATATTTCAATCTATTTTTAAATTATATACAATTTCCAATGGGAAAATACTATAGTAGATATCACTATATATAAATAATAATTAATAAGTAAATAACATATTATATAGATATATTAGACTTTGTAATTTGTATTATAGTATATTATAGGTATACTAAATAATAAATATATCTAAAATATCTAAAATATCAATATACCGTGTTGTATTTTCTTAATTTTGTCGAGTGTTGCACTGGTTAGTTTGTATATAAATTGATGATAAAATATATTACTATGCAATTCACAAGAATATCATCAACAATCGTTCGTCAGTTATCACACTGTCACAGTATTAATCCTTTGAGGTACGCGTTCCTCCTATAGTCTCAACTCTCAAGTGGGTTACGGCAGAGAGCATTTTTATGAATTCGTATTTGAATTCAAAAGTGAAAGTTATTAGCTTCATCCCTAATTAATATATAMATATTACATACTATATATGTATATATTTAATATGTTACTAAATAATGGGTAAACAATCTCCAGTTTGAAACTTTTTTAACAAGATAGTTAAAAGTACYAGCACATGTAACAAATATCATCGTCATTTTGAAGCAAAAGGTAGAAACACAAGACGTAACCTAAGTAGACATTTACAATTTCGACACCCAAAGCATTACTTAGAGTATATCCACCAAAAAGYGCCAAATACAAAAGAGTAAGAAAGTAATGCTTAGTAATTTTAACACGATTAAGTATCATTACCTACCTYATTACTTAAATTATATATTAATTCCCCATATTATATTCTCTAGTTCATTTAAGGCAAAGGGATCGATTAAAYATTTTTCAAGAAATAATAATTATTATTTTTCTTTATGTTGATCGGATTGTTTTAATATTTTAATTGCTAAAAAGTTTTCAATATTAATTAAGAACACGTTTATTTTAATAAAAAATAAAAAAAATTATGTCAGCATACAGGAAAATAAGAAATGGCYTTTCCCTATAATTTTTTCTTTCTAAACACCTTTCCATAATTATAGACATGAAAACGGATCTTAGTCCAGAGTTGATGAAGTTTTACCTACACATTAATATTGGTYCTAACATGTCCAATGATACCGAAGAACATAATAACGGAGATGAAAATGTTYGTATGGCAAAAAAATATGTCTCTTATACTTAAGCCAAGTCAAACTTSTGAACTAATGATGATTGGAAGTTTTACCTTAGATATATAAGCTTGGACATTGATCATACAGCAAGTAATKSAAAGRAAWT